AAACCAAACACTAAAATTATCTACTTCATCTTTGAGCAAAAGTTTAAATGGAATATTTAGTTGGATGTGACAACTGAGCGATTATAAGTTTACAATCTAAACAAGTGGTACATTGCAAATCGTCATTAATTCCAGCTTTCTCCACGGTTAGGTAAAATATGCTTGAAAGAATGACAATAAAACAGTTTTTGATTAAAAAAATACAAATTAGCAGAGCGAGGTTTCGATCCTCGGACCTCTGGGTTATGGGCCCAGCACGCTTCCACTGCGCCACTCTGCTAGCTACACGTCAATTGCTTCTCACTGACATCTTATTATGAATAACTTCTCGTTGAAAAGATGATATAATGAGCGTGAGTTCAGTGAAAGACGCCTCTAATTGCTAATCATCACAGGGCGCGTTCGAGTGGCTTCCGATGGTGGATCCAGAGTGGGCCACAGGACAGTGGGCAAGCTGTTCCCCCGGACATTTTTCTTTCATTGAAATTACCAGTATTTTAAAATTGGTACTACCATTCGATCTTGTCGAGGGTTGGGGATTCTGAAAGGGAGAAAATTGGCCACCCGTTTTGAGGAACAGATTTTGTCCCCGCCCCTCTTTTCCTACCTCCATGCTCCGACCAAAGACGTAGCTACGCGGGCCACTTGTAGCTTCCACATTCAACACAGCTGAACGTGCATTGAATTGCATACAACACACATATTCTTATTCCTGTCTTTACTCAAGGATTATAAGCAATATTCTTGCAGCTTTTCAGTCGCTACATTCATCTTTTGTCTGTAACAACTGCAAATCTTAGAGAATTGAAAATATAATTATACCAACAATAAATAAATTCTGATGCAGTTTACCAGTTTATGTTTATCAAGGACGTACAATCTTCAAATTAGGACGAATGGGAAAGAGAAAACATTTTTATCCAAATTTTCCAGGTGTCACTTTTTCCCCTCTTATAAAGCTTAACAGCATCAACACCGTGAAATTTCTTTGACAGATTCATGCCAACAGAGGGCGGGACTCCACGTTCGCTTGGGATTAGTCAGGTGCCAGTACTCCAACTTTATTTTTATGTTATCTTTCATCGGTACGACTAGGAGCCCTACGATTTAACTTCCACGTTTCGTTTCACCCGTGGTAGAAACATATGTGCGAGATGTCGGGAGAAACGAGCCACGAAGTCTTCACTTCTTCGAGGGAATTCTGCCCTCAATGTGGGTCTATCTTACCATTTCCCAAACCGGGAACATTGCTCATGAAGTGCAGTTTATGCCCGTATGGAGTGGATTCTAGAAGTGAGGATAATTAATTTGATAATTTAATCTCATTCTTCATGTTCCAAATATTCCTCCAATGCTCCATCGTCGATCATCATCATGTTTGATGTTGTCCATCGTCTTTTGTTTAACATGAGTTCTAAGCTTACCATACTAAGTTGTAAAGTTGACAATTTGAAGTTCCTACTATTTTTGATCTGTAAGGAGTATGTATTCATTTCAGATGGCAAATAGGTCACTACAGGGAAAAGTAGTGACGTCTTTGTAAGGAATTCTTTCCTTTTTAGTAGCCTACATTGCAAATTGTTGGCAATCAAGTGGGATTATTCATTTTATCATGTTTGCAAAAACAGTGACAGAAAAGGCTAAGAATGTTGCATACCTAATTTATGTCTACCTCTAGTTTACTGATTTTGCCAATCTACACCTTACTAACATGGCTAAGGCTGGCTGCTGTAACTGTGTGAGCATTAGCCCCAGACATGCCAGACTGTTGGGTCCGACGTCTGCCCCGTTCCCATGTGGGAGCAGAGCGAACGTCGGACCACACAATTCTGGGGGTATGTGAGCCTAGCACTGAGTAGCAGGTATGTCACACAGTGCAGTAACAAAATAATGCAAAGTTAGCTAGAATCATGGACCCAGACTAGGTCTACTAAGTGGAGTGTGAGTGTGCCTCTTTTACGATTTTGGACGGGATCATCATACTAACGTGCCACGCCTGTTCATTTAGTAATATTAAAACGGTTCTCAAAAATTCCAAAGACTCGCCAAAATACCTCCAAAAATCTGCCAAAATCTGTCAAAACATGGCCCTCCCAGAAACATGCATGAGTGGGCTATACCGGGTCTGGGCGCAAGACTTGTTTATCGTGAGGGTTTGGAGTGCTACCAACGACTGTTTCCTCTATGGGCGAACATGGTCCTCTAACGAAACTGCAGGAGAGGCCCAAATGTAGTCGGGGCACAAGACGTATTGACCAGGAAACAGTCACAGGTAGCATGCCCAACTGTCACGATCAACAAGTCTTGTGCCCAGACCACATATAGGCCACTCATGCGTGTTTCTGGGAGGACCATGTTTCGCCCATAGATTATTGCGTATTCTAAATCTCACTACGTGCCTTTGAAAGGTACAGGTGGCGAAAAATTCAAGTGCTGTGTGTATGTCGAGCGAAAACGGTCAGATTTTGACAGATTTTGAAGTCAGAAATATCATTGAAGCCCCAACCATTTGACGTTGCCATGTACGGAAGCTAGTAGGTGGTGATAGAGGTATTTTTGGTGAGTCTTTGGAATTTTTGAGAACTGTTTCAACCTTACTATATGTACAGGCATGGAGCGTTGGTATGACGATCCCGTCCAAAATCATAAAAGAGGAATACTAACACTCCACTCAGTAAAGCTAGACCCAGACGTTGGTGGTGCTCAAGTATGCTAATTTAAACATTTGTGTGACCGTCGTTTTTCACCTTGATTACTGCCAAAATGGTGCTTGTGTGATGAGTGAAAATGTGATTTACAGAATCTACGGACGTAAATTGACTTTAAAACCTTCGAGTCCGCAGTAAAACTTCATGCTATATTTTTGACCCACAAAATGACACGGCGACGTTCACAGAAATCCCAATTTCAGACAAATATGGCTGAATATCCTTAAGTTTATTTTTCATCTTACCAGTGGTACATGTTGGATTAGATTAGCAAGAGAACTGAAACGTGTAGACCGTGGTTGTTATTACTCATTGCCTTGCACATTATCATTATCAGTTCAAATCCGCCGTTACAATGTGGGGGGGGTGCTGAGAGCTTCCCCAGGGTTGGGAGAAATTCTGGTTCACTCCCCTTCCCACAATTAAATTCCAGTTCCACATTGTATTCGAGATACAAGTATTTGAAATGGTAAGTTTATTTCTCAGTATGTATCTTATAAACTGTCTAAACATGCCTAAAAGGTCACAAGTATTTAACCCATTATGCATATCGAAATGTATATACTTTGGTGCATGTTTATTTTATCATAAATTCCATTCTACTCTCCTTTTGGAGGTGGGAGAGCTATTATTTGAGTGTAAATTTAAAGCCTTCTAAGAAGACATTATAATAAAAGTAATTGGAACATTGTGAAATTTCCATGAATCCAGCCAGCCAAGTGACCATCTTTGCTAATTCCCTTTACTTGAATCACGTGAATTTGTTGCAGCTGCCCTACATGACATCGTCTACCATTCCTATCTTCGGCTCAACACCCGCAAAAAGGTCAGAGGTCAGGCAGAGGTCACCACCGAGAAAGACCTGGGACCGCTAGTGAGTGTAGCCAAATATTTACCCAGATTCCAAGAGTTACGCATTCTACTACTAATTATTTGTCCGTGTTTGTGAAGAATTTCGAGATCCTTTTGGTCGGAGTTTAATTTTTGCCTCAAGAGCTTGTTTTTTTATTCAAGGAATTGAAGGATCAAACAGTGAAAGTGGATATTGTGTATATGTGTGTTCTTTCTGATCCTAACTGTTTTAAGGGTCATATTTACAGACATTTCTGATATTTTTCTCCTTGCAGATTGACAGGGCTTGTGCCAAGTGTGGCCATGACGGTCTCCATTTCCACACCAGGCAGACGAGATCAGCGGATGAGGGCCAGACTGTCTTCTATTTCTGCCCGTCATGCAAGTGAGTTGAAATCTAGTCGAGGTTCCTGCCATCATCTGGTAATGATCCTCGGCAGGTGCACAACATTCTTCTTGAAAGTACACCTCATCCCTTGGTTCTCTGTGTTCTTGATCAGTATCTTGCATTAGTTTGATTGATGATATTTTTGGAGTAATACATCCAAAACTGTTCACAAACACAAAATCTGAGTGTGGAATAAAGTAGATTCAGGGAATAATTTTCCCAGTATCATATTGCAATTCGCGATGCATTTCCAGCCATTTGCTACGCACTTTTTTATGAATTGCAGTTGCTGTGATGCAACCAGAAACATATTCATGTTTACAGGCGAATTCATTCAGAATGAGAGAGTGGCACTCTCTGCAATTGCTGGCCCTGTAGTCTGAATTACTAAGCTAGCTGGGAAGTGCCGATAACACAGTGGGTAAGCCTGTAATATACAGTTGACTCCCGTTTATAGTACAAAATCGGCCATTACGGAATGCTTACCGCCCAATCACTGAATTATTCATAATGTCTGGCAGAACTGGAGCGACCTCCAATGAGAATGTGTGCTTGCATGACGTACTCCTGGCCAGACATAGCTATCCAATCACAATGTCGCCTTAAGACATGCTCCTTTCTCGTGCACCCGCGGCCGGGGTGCTTACTACAAATTCAGCCGAGACCAGCTTATTGATTAATTCAATATGCCACGTTCCAACTGGTACCAAACATTAAAAGACAAACAAATAAAAAGGAAAATCATGTTTCCCCATAGCACAATTTGTGCTGGAAAGAATACTTACATGAATGAGCCTTCAGCTGTTAATCAGTCTCGGCTTTCACACTAGTCATAGCACATAATGCGCTAGCGACAAGGAGTACTACGGTAACTTAACCGGACCGTGAAAGTTGTTTGATTCATTTCCTGCAGTGCCATGACAAGGCACAATTAATTAGGGAGTTTAAGATTTCACATCGCAGAACCACTACGGGGACGTGATGGCCAAACAACGACGTGAAAAAGCAAAAACTCATCACATTGAGGACAACACTCTGGCCACAGCAACTGAGCATGTGCATCAAAAAATTGATGTCTGTTCAGCTCTATGGTTCGGCCGGTCCATGATTGCTCATTGTGGAATCTTAAACTCCCTGTTATCCTGGCACGTGCACTGTCTAGTCGTGTCGTTAATGTTATGTTACTCTCAAGTCGATCGCTCAATTTGGACTAGACTCTGTTTGGATTCATTGTGGTTTTGGATGTGGAATAACTGGAATTATTTGGATGTAGACTCTGGATTTATTTTTGGATATTTTTGTCGCGAAAAAATTGCTATACAAGTTTATCCAACTGCTATGCAAAACTTATTTTGTATAGCAGATTTGCTAAGCAAATTTTTTGCTGAAAATTATTCCCTGAGATTTATGTCCAATTTTCCATGTGGCCTGTTGTCTTTCAAATGTTTTCATTGGCACTCATGAAGAGATTTCCAAATAAAAAAATTAATGTCTTTTTTCCTCTATTCCTTGCACAGACATCAAGAGATTGAGTACTCATGAGATGCTCCCGACGGTCCCCGGGGAAAGGATCACAATATGGAAGAGTGGAAGCTGACATTCTTGCTAGACAGAGGGGGAACTTTGACCCAGCGACCGACTGGTGGAATACTGACTCTGATGTTTGGTGCATCGTCGCGTGTTTAGCTGCCGGGAAAATGTGGCCATCCTGATGTCAGTGCATGCTTCAGCCAAGGGGAAGGTCCAGTGAAGAACTGTGGCTAGCCACGATGGAATTGACTAGCACGGAGTGCAAGGCCATGTCTGAAACGGGCTTCCAGAGCTTTGGCTAACCTCTATTAACAATATGCTTCTGCATATTTCCCATAGAGCGAAGACGTAGACCAAGCTGGTTGTTGGACTTGACGATGGTTCGGTCTAGCCAAGCTGGTCCCATTGTTGGCTTATCTGGGCTTCGTTAGTCTGGTTCCCTAATGTCTCCGAGAGAGTTTCTGCCAGGATTGAAATGTCAGGCCCTCGAATATTTTGATTTATATATTGAGTATACATTTTGTTTCAGCATTTAAAAAATATTTTCTTTGCTTCAAATCAATTCCCTGTACTCTCTCCACAATCCTTTGAGGCATCATCACCAGTTATTCAGCATTACATGTTAAATGACTGATTGGAGATGAAAAAAAGGACACTGCTCATCATTATTTGAAGGACAATGCAACTTGGGGGACGTGGTGATGGTAGAAAATTTTTGGACAGTTGGAAGCGTGCAAACAGGTGGTTGTCCCACTGGAAATAATTAGAATTTTTACCCCTTCCCTATCGTTTTTGTGAGCATTATATAGAAACATGGTATTAAAAGATATTGACTGAATATCAGACATGGAAGTATCATTGAAATGCGGGTCATATCTTCTCTTCTGCTTTTGTCTCCCAACCTTGCATTGCAACCCCATCTCCAGTAACCGCGCCTCTGCAGCCTATTTTTGAACAGCGCCCTCAATATATTGGGGAGGAGCTTAGCGAAATGTAAACCCTTGCATTATCGGCGCTCCGCCAAATGTGCTCGGGTCTTGTCGATTTCCGTGGTGAAAAGCCGGGGAATCATGTCTTCGGCTGCCGATCGGAGCAGCAGGGGTCTCGCAGCCATCGTGGGCTGCCTTGTGAGCGATGCAGCAGGTAAGAGTGCCTTGTTCTCCCGCTCTACGGACACGGCTCGCAGAGTTGCATTCAGTGGGAGCGCGGCGGCCGCGGGCGATCCTTGAGGTATTCGCAAGTGGCATGCATGACAAACGACGCGTGACGGCGTAAAATTTCTTAGTCACCGACTACAGTCGAACCTCTTTAATGAGAGGTCCTTGGGAATCATAATCAAGTGGTAAATTACCTCGTTTTAACAGGAACCTTGTATAATCAGGAATGAAAATAATGAAAAAAAAGGATCGGGACCTAACAATTTCCTTGTCTTAAGCAGAATCTTGTATTTGGCCTAACAGTGCTCTTATTAACGAGGTTTGACTGTATTATCGTGCACTGTGCTTTTGAATCTGAATATAATGGCACAGTTCACTCATTTTATCACATTTAAAACAGTTTCAGGAGTGAAATTCTCCTCCTAGAATACAGAAAACATTATTTTAAAACCTTTTTCAAAACAATTGCAAGTAGACATCACAAAACAACGAAAAGGATGTTGGCCTGACCTGTTTTTAACTGAAGTCAAAGTCCATTCAGCATGCGAAGAACTGATATTGTGATAGAAAAATTTATTTTCAGGTCCTATTAGCTATTTTGAGGTCAGATTTTGTTGAAGTTTGCAAAACTGGACAATTGTGGTGGTTGGTTACATGTACGTATGTGGTTTGGAGGTTTGGAACTCTTTCTAAGAATTTTTTTTGAAAACTTTTTAGAAGATGGGCCTATATTCTACAATCGTGCTGCAGTGTAGACCATTTATCATAAAAAGAGACAACAAGATAAAGATATTCTGTCCCTTTTCATCATTTTTTTGTCTTCAAATTTTTGGCATTATCATTGGAATAGATCAAGACATTCGCCCTCTTCCCCACACTCCACCCACAAGGTGGGCTTTAAAAAAAACATTATTGAGGCCAAGCAAAAAAAAATACTAGTTTCTCATCCCAGTCTACTTCTGTTTTCCCTGCTTGCCGCCTGTAATTTTTTTTATTCATAGCTTTTTCCTGTTCTGCTAAATTTTCTAATGTATTTTAATTCAGTTTCTGGTAGCATACTGAGCATTGTATGTGCATGTAAATTCAAGTTAAAGATCTGTGAGATTGATAAAAGCTCATGAAGGGCCCGATTTAGTAAAAAAAAAAAAAAAGGACTTCTGAAAATTCATCTACCATATTGGAAGAATCTGTGTTGTAACAAATAGCAATAAAAACAGCTGCTGTCATTTGTTTCCAAATATCCAGACGAAAAACTTTTTTTTTTGCTTGCGTGGTCATATGTTGCTCCTTGTTGAACAGCCCAGCCTCTACACTGGATCTACAACTTGGACAAACTGGATTCCATCGTTGGATCGAACACCGACTCTCTGGAATTCTGGGAACCATCGCAGAATCCCTACTATCGCATCGAGACTGGGCGGGGGACTGCATATGCGGACCACACGATCGCGTTAATGGAGTCGCTAGTGGCGTGCGAAGGTAACACAAGCATTGGCTAGGCCAAATGAACCAGAGATTAAAAAAAATTGGGAAAAAGGCCCCATGAAGACACAGCTAATCTGCCTCCCTCCCACTCATTGAAACTTTCTAAGTTACTGCCACACTTGTAACATGTCGTACTGTCGAATGGCTGAGAAGTTTGCTCTTGTTACTTTGTAAGGCCCCCCCCCACCCAGACTCATCCATGAACAGAAGGGGCGTGGAGCAGACCTGAGTGTACCAAGTAGGAGGATGTTGTACAGTGTAACGATGAATGATGTTAAGGCCAGCCCTCAAGATCAACAGCCTTGCATGTAAATGAAGTTGGTGATGTACATGGGTTTGGAGTTCTTTTGAGTACACTTATGCTTCATTCAAGTTTGCATGCAGTGAATAAAAAGAGATCTTCAGTCACCAGCGGCTGTAACACTCCGTTTAGCAAGATTTTTCAAAAAACTTTCTTCTCACGATTGAATCTGTGACTCGTTGAGAGAGCTTGGGTCTTATTTTCAAATTGTTTCAACTGAATTAATCTATTTCCTGAAAGCAACAGCGGTTAGCTTCCAATTACAGGAGTCTTTCAGTTTATCTCCTATACCACCAAACCTATTCTCCTGTCTGTCTTTTGCAAAACCAGGGTATGACAAGGCCGACTTCGGGGATCATCTCCAGGCAATGTTTGGTCCGGGCACCGACTACGATAACGACCTCAACAAGACCTTTGTCCTGAAGAGTGGTGTCCAGTCGGGGTACCCGATCAACGGGCCGTGGAGACCCAAGGCGATCAAGGACTTCCTGGCTAATCGAGCGGAGGGCAAGGAGAGGACAGGTAGAGGGCAGCCGGAATCTATGAATGTCCCAACCTTTGTGTAAAATCTTTGGAATAAACTCATAACCTGTTGAATAGACTAGGGCAAGTGATGCCCAAGGTGGCCAGATTACTTGACTGCAGCTGATTATCACACAAGTCTATGGGAAGCGACTGCCATACGCAGTCATGTTACAGTGAGCCGTAGCCGGATAACTTTGACACAGTCTCAGCCTTATGTTTCAGTGGCGGTGTTAAACATGATATTTCTTGATGGGTAATTCCAGAAATTAGGGGTCCACTTTTTTCATGTCCCGAATACATTTCTAATTTCCAAGAGTGATGAATTAATGTAAATTACCTGCCAAACAAATAGTACTACATGTAGTTTGAAATCAATTCTGGTGATATTTCCAGTCAAATAACAAAGGTCAGATGTAACAGGGACACAGAAATGTCACGCTTTTGGACCCCTTATTTCTGGAGTTACCCTGCACCAAGACAGGTAGAGTTTGGCCTTACAATGTGTTGACTTCTTAGAAATTGGGGACCAGTCTTGAAGTACAATAGAGGTTGTGCACGGAAGCTGTTTTCCTTTCAGTGAAATGTACAATCCCATTATTGCCTTGGGTACAGCACTTTCATTTTCTTTCCTGAGCTCTCTTGTGTTTTCTGGCACGAAGGAAGTGACCATATGCACGATATGCATGCAGTGGTCGGGGTAGTGCCCATGGTGGCCCTCTACGCGGGCAGGAGCGACATGCTGGAGAAGGTGGAAGAGTCCATCGCCGTGGTGACCGAGGTTGAGGAGGCGATTGTCGTTGGTTTGGCCGCTGCCAGGTAAAAGTGAACGGTTGCACGTAGTTGAAGATTGACTGGTACCCAGTGGCGTGTGCAATTGCATTCTTAATGCGAACAGTTGAACTAGTAACTAACCCTAACCCCCTAGGCCTTTTTACTAGGAACCACCCCGAATCCTCTGAAATCCTCCGATTTTCAACATGAAAAAGTTGCATTCAGCCCAAATCTTCCAAAATTTCTTGAAAATGTCATTTGGAGGCGTGCCTAACTGCCCCAAATCCTCCGGCAATTCCTTTCATTATGTTAAGGCAGTGCGAATGGCACTCTTGAGCTGTGCGGTTGATTCAAAAGAAATATCGGGCTGAATTTGTGCTTGACTAAGCACAAACAACATTAAGGTCTAATCCACGACCTTCACGTACCTGGTATGGCATCCTTCAAAATCAGCCATGCAATTTTTCCATACACCCTGAATCCTCCAAGTTCCTCCACTTTGCAGAAAAGGAATTTGGAGGATTTGGGTGGGTTAGGGCTAACGATCGACTGCAGGACTTGCCCTCATCGCGGCAGTTGGTTATCCCTAATGCTTTGCATTTCCTTCACAAACATTTCTGAACAGAGGTTTTGGCAAGAGGAGAATTCGCAAGAAAGTTGTAGCCCTGCAAAGGTTTCACTCGTTTGCCGTGGATGTCATCCGTTGAAGTGTGCTTACGTCAGATGCATTGTGGATTTAAAGTTTTGCGAACTAACAGACACGATTTAAAAAAATTTTCCTGAAAATTTAAAGTTGCCGAGAATTTTGTGTGATTCTTAGTCAAAACATGTCATCACTTTACCCACCAAAATTCCTTGGAAGTGTGGATTATCTGCCCTTTCAAGGTTTGTAAATATCGGTGTCACTTTAGAAAACAGAACTACAAGAGTTTGTATTTCTGTATTCTTTTTGTGTCCCACACCCTTGAAAACAAGATGCCTACTCCACGCTTCTGTCTGAAGAGAAATCAGTGTAGCTAGCTATGAACACATTACAGCTTGAAAATTGAACGAATGAAATTGACTGAAAGTTGTTCCGAGCAGAGCATGCCTCCATTACAAGCATTGTTGATAGCCGCTGTGTTTCATTTTGTTGAAAAAATTCCAGAGTCCTGGAGCAATTTATCCTCAACCCTGACATGGACGGGGACGCGGCCCTAACAGCCGTCATGACGGACCTGGCCAGTCCGAGTCGGAACAACCCCACTGACCTGGACCGAGCTGTCATCGGTCAGCTGAAGAAGGTGATGGACAAGAAAGCTTGCGAGCACCGTGAAGCGGCACAGAAATACTTCCTGAATAACTGAGGTAAAAAAACCAAGACCAACAAAATTATTACACCCTCAGATTTGTCCAGTCGGCAGAGGCTTTTGGATTTGGCGAGGGTTAATCTACGTCAAACCATACAACATGACACACGGATTTGTTTGTGCATACCATGTGTGGGCATTAGGCTTGCACCGGATATGTGGGTACCCGGTTACGCGCCCATATATATCAAAACCCGGTTTATTTTTTTTGGGCCGGGTACCTGTAAAAGAAAAAACATCTTGTGGCTGAAAAACCTGGTCAGGCAGTCCTGTTCCGGTCCAGAGATCGATGGAGCTTCTTTTGTTACAAATTGAAGGTAAGACTTTGTTTAATAAAATGGTGGGGCAGATTCCCTCTAACGTTTAGAACAATGTACAGCTTCCTATGTAGAAAAAAGAGCCGTGTTTCAGGCACATGGTCTGCCCGGATTGCTCAGGTACTCGGCACGACCCTAGTGGACGTGCCTTCGTTTTTCTAGTAAGAAAATGGTCATTTTCTCCTTCTGTGGACATTCCTTCAAGCTGGATTTTCAAACGTAACTTCCTCACCTGGTAGTCGTCTTTTTGCTGCTTTAACCCTAACCCCAAAATGCCCTTCAAAAATCTGTTTGAGAGAGGGGAATAGATGTACGCTCTGTAGACCTGGTCATGTCCCCTCAGAGTGCCTCTGTACCCTGCATTGTGGGGACCTCTTTTGTTTTGAGGTCCACAGAGTGTGTGCAAAGCGAGCATGTTTTCCTTTATGTTCCGCAGACTTACCAGGGGCCTTCCAGTCGGCCCTGCATTGCCTGGTGAACCACTCGGAGCTAGCACCAGCCGTCCGGACCACCATGATGGCCGGGGGATGCAATGCCAGCCGCTCTGGGTTCATCGGGGCTTGCCTCGGGGCACGGGTAAGTCCAGCCTGTCACGGGAGCCCTTTTTTGTGCGATGTCAGTTTAGGTTAAGGGCTACATGAAGACGAAGGTCGTGTGTGTGTGGTGCAATATTTCCAGCAAAATGCTTTCAGATTTTTAAAAATTAGTTTGAGTGGCGTTTTACAGTTTTGTGACCTCATGGTGAAAGATCCGTGGAGCATTTGCAGTACTACTTAATAAAAAAAAACGGCAGAGAGTGCATTTCAAAGTTGAAGAATACTTCACTTTAAAGTTAAGATCAGTTTCTGATCGTAAAAATTAAAATTGTCTATTTCACTTCCTCTATTTGATGTTGAGACATTTAGGTTGGAAAAATAAAATATGTTTGTATTTTTCTTCAAAAAGCAATTTTTATACTGAAATTCACACTGAGCAGGTTGGCTCTTTAAAAGAACATTCCTTTAATAAAGGCGCACCTAATGGCTGAATTGAGAAGCATGTCATTTTTGGGTCTTTTATCTGTTGATAGAAAAAATACATTGTGTGAGCACAAGCATTTAAGCCAGAGACCTTGCAAAATTCACAATCCGTTTTTCCCTAATAAGTAACTTTGACACCATAGTCTAAATTTCACTCTTGCAAAACTGGAAAATGCATGATCAATCGAAAAACCAACCTTCACGTAAATATTTTGTTGATTCTGTTGGCAGAATGGCCTTCAAGGTATTCCAGAGACGTGGAAATCCAAGACTCTGGCCTACCCCAGAATCCTGGAGCTTTCTCGGAAGCTCGTGGCAATCCAACCGACCGATTAAGTCTGGTCCTCCAGCTGGGCAAGTGCAATGGCGTATCATCCCGAGACTCTCTGGAGAATTGATGATGAAATTGGAGCAAATGCATTCACTGTGCGCCTCCGATTTCTGACGGCTGTCTCCTCTGTTTCACGAAAATACCCCCCCCCACATCCACCGGCTGAATTTGGTACCCCTGCTTTTCAGATGCATCTTTGTTTCTGAATGGCATCTTAATCAGCATGATCTGGTCCTTCTTTGAAACATTTTTTCTTTTAATTTATGTGACACCATTGTTTCTATGCTTATAGCGATTTATATTGTAAGACGTCTTTTTGTCAGAGATGCCATTTTCAAGGAGCGTTATAAGGCTGTTCCGATTATTCAATCGATCATCGAATATTCGAATAATATTTTTTGAATTTGAATATTAATATGCAAATTAATGAAAAGGGAGAATTTTCTTTTGCTTTAAATGAGAAAAATTGCACTATGGAGGCTTGTTCCAAGTGAATTTAAATGAAAAGCGACAAAAATCTTGCAGCGATTTGAAAAGTACATTATTCGTTAAAAAATTTAGAAGGAATATACATCTTCAACAGGACAAGAAGTATTGTTCGTCTCTTAAATCTTGCTAAATCGTGGCTGGAGATACTCCTAGATGTGAGAAGCTATTGTAGTGATTTTAACGTACAATTGTGTGCATTATTGCCACTGATTTTGTATATGGTTTGTTCCTCAACAATCTGCTGGTCGGCACGACCGAATATTCGGATATTCAACCAAATTGAAGGTCAAATATTCGAATAGTGAATTTATTGGAATTAACTCAGCCCTAGAGCGTGAATGTTATTTGAAATTCGGGTGTGTTTTGCAAATGAAGTGCTGGCGACACTGCAGAGGTTCAGGAACTTATGTGGATTATTTTCCGTTCATTCAGAAAATGTCATGGTGATTTATGTTGAACTGTAACCCTGCCAAGTTTCTGCCGTTACTGTGGATTTTTCTGTCATCCCCTCTCTTATATAAGGGGGGTTTATAGTTTTGCAGATATAGACTTCACTACTTTTTGATTGGATTTGCAGGGAAATTTTTGAACTCCTATATTTGATATTCTTATATTTACTGCTTGACAATTAAAACTTTTTGCTTGACAATTAAAAATTTCTTTTTGTCGGAGCAGTATTTTAATTTTTTTGCAACTTCTGATCTGAAAGAAAATGCAACGGGCTGACCTTAAGAGGTTTAATTAAATTTTATTCAAAATTTTATCATATTTCAAATTTCAAGCAGTTACATTTGCGCATACATTTTTTTTTAAATACAAGGAGTTCGGCCCCCCCCCTACAAAATAGTTTGTCTCTGGTCAAACTGATGTTCTGGAATTGATGCGGCGATGCCGCCATTTTCTTCCTCCTTCCGGGATTGGAGGAAATGTTGAGGCAGTGCTGCAATAGAGGGCGCTCTTGCACAGAAAATAAAGATCGGCGCGGGTGCTTGAAATCGACATGCGTCCCGACCATGGACGAAAGACTTTTTTTTTGGCCTTAGCCTTGCAATGTTATTCAAGGCTGGTCAAAAATTGACCTTCATTTTCAAACAGCTCCAGAACGCCTTTGGTTGCCACCTGTACAAACTTGTTCTGAATTTCCGAGGCATCTTTGTGGCAATTTTCAAGCATTGTCTTGCTGCCACAATTATTGAGCCAAAAGTCGACAAAGTAATCATGGAGGTATCCTAATTATTTAACTAAAATTTGGTTAAAAAGCCATTTGTATACAGCTTAGGTGTGCCTGTTGATCATCGTGCATTTCAAATAATCCTATAATCAAAAGTACAGGATTTTTCCCAAATAGTCGGTGCATCACTTGTTGCTCTGCACAAGAACGTGAGACGGACTTGATAGAGGGCAATCACCGCTGACCTGTCTCCACAGCATCCGTTTAATAATACAAAACACAGAAGTCTTTCGCTAATTAACTTACAAAAGATCTACATTTTTTCACATTCCATGATCACTCAGACTGTGATAGTGTTGTGTGAAGGGTGAAAAAAATTAATGTTGACTTACCTCACCAAAACTGAGATACAATTTTTCGTCACACTTTTAAAAAGAAGATATAAGCATTCCAGGTTTCCATTTTTTTTCACGGAATAACAAAACACGGAGATGTAAAATTATGCTTAGCAACACGACAATTTTGTGAGGATTTTACCTTGTCTTCACATAAGCGGATATGGTCAGTCAAATCTCTAAAATGCGATGTGAAGTCTACAAGCATGGCCAACGACCAATCCAGTCCATCTGCACAGTAAGAGTGGCAGTACTGTATCCAGGCCCATGAGGTTTTCAAGCCGACTTGTGATGTTCACATCTTTCAATTCTCATTCGACATTCTTCATTACCTCTGGCCAAAGAAAGGCAAAGTTGAGCTATATATGCAATCACATATATGCAGCCAAACCACAGTTCACAACCATGCACAACGCATGACATCTAGATGCTCAACCAACCATAAAAACTTCACGTGTGAAATTAGGCTCCAATAACATTTGGGCTTTATTTTCCTTTAAAAAAAACCTCCCTGCCCACAATTCTGACCCATGATTCGAACCCACACCCCAGGCATCACAAACCATAATGCTGTAACCACTTGGCTACCGCAATTCACACAAATTGATGGTGTTTTTACTGTTGATATAACGATGAACAGCTGCAACGTGAGTCTAATACACATTGGGCATGTGCAATATAAACACAACCACCGTGGTTTGGCTTCATACGTATGGTTGCATACATATCTCGCAAAGTTTACGTCCAAAACCGTTTCCAAAATACTTCATTGTTGCGCCCTCCATCGCTTATTTACAGGGTCATGAGTAAAAAACAGAAACATGCCAACATTATACGTAACTCTGAAAATGCCTCACAAAAGTCTTCAAGAAACCAACAGGACAGAATTGAAAGGAAGAGTGACTACTCAACCCTGCAGGCAATCTGCGTAGACTTTGGAATGCTCTTCACAACCACCGAGTCTTTTTAGAAACAGACTCAGGACCAACCTCATGAAGCCGCTGGGCAGGAACAGTCTGCTAAAGATTAGCAAAGGAAGGTTACCAGCCAACATGTCACAGTGTGTATACTGCCTGCCACTGGTACCCTGATCGTTTCAGCTTGGCGGATAGATTGGCTGAGCAAGATTCCCTGCAGAGTTGCTCTGGATACAGCTCCCCCTACCCCCCACTTAGCTCCCCTCGTCCCAGGGGGGTTACATCATCCCAGCCCCTTGCTTGTCCCTCGACTCAGTCCAGGCCTTGGCAATGGTCCGCTTCATCTCGTCGTCTCCTTCGTCGTACATCTTCTTCATCAAGTCCATGATGCCTGAGCTGGGGTCCGCGTCCTTGTCCATCTCGGGTGTACTGAATGAAAAAAAAAAGAGACCAAGTGGGGGGGGGGTTCAGAAAGTTTCTCTTAGCTCGATCCACTCGGGAGGTTCCAACAACGCCTCACTGACATCAAATTTTCACATCTCTGCAAACGAACCCTCCCCTCGGTCCAGGGTGCGCAAAATTTTTGCTCGGTTCATGATCTGGAGCATGGCGAAAGTGGTCTCCCCAGTGGAATGATCCACACGTTCAAGGTCTGGAAGGGTTATCATTTGTGATCCCCTGTCTCACCTGTCCTTGTCCTTCAGCCTCTGCTCCACCTGTGTCAGGTATTTCCAGCTGTTGCCCTGGTCTCTCTTCTTCAGGAAAATCACAACGTCATCCGTCTTGATCTGAAAACGAAACGGATGTCGTGGACGGTGAGCTTTCAGTCCGAGGTCGTTTCTTGACTCCAAACACTGCCCTGATTTTGGCTATCAAGTCCTTCGTCAGCCAATAACTCAACACTCTTTCTTGTCTTGATGACCTCTGGTGAGGGGTCGCCAAGTAAGCACACAAAGCCAGCGTTTTCTTCGGGATTTGGGCATTCAGTTTTCAAATTCCCAAGAACTCCAACAAAAAATTTGATGAAGATGTATGCTTTTCAAACTTTGCGTTTCCAAACATGGTGTCCTCTGTTTGTCTTCTCCTGAAGACGATCAGCATATTGCTACTTGAAGCAGTTCTCTTCAGAACCACTTCCCCTTCTAAGAAGAGATACGTCGTTGTACCTGAAAACTTTCTCCGACCATATCATCTCACCATGCAAAGCTTCAAATCACACTTATGGCGCCCAAAATAGGCTACCTGGCGTCTTACAGACGTCGTTCCGGCTACAACATTCTCTGTAGCATGCCAAATTTATTGTGAATTTGCAAAAACGAGAAAAAATAAGGTCTACCGTTCAAGATGGAGTTGAAACAAAGATTTCAACTGCCCCCCCCAGTATTTACACAGCGCCCTCTTCAGTCACGCAAATGGCCAATGGCTCGGCAGAAACCATTACCTTGAAGTGGCTCTCTTTGGGAAGGATGGCTCTGAGGAGGCCATTGATGGCAAGCTGATGATTGGCATCTCGTAGATTGTTGGCTACTAACTTGAAGGAGCTAAATTAAACAGAGCAAGGAACGCAGAAAGTGCATAGTGAGACAATTATGGCTGCTCCCTCTGAGACAAGTGACGATTTGAACAAAAACATCATTGGTAAATAGTACCTTTAATTATCAAGTGATGACTATTAAAAAACTGATTTTAAAAAAACCAATGAGCTAAGACGTTATTGTCCCCTCAAAATAATCCTTACTCGCGCTCAATGCTAAGCTGGTTTTGCCAAAGGTGAAGATGAAAGTGCAGTGAGTCATCCTCAAGTGGCTGTGCACTGGGCAACTGCAGGCTATAATCAGACAGGCTCGTTAGCCCCTGCCAACTACCTCCAAATAGAACATTTCCGGTTCACCGACACGTGCATTAGAAAATCACATGTGATGACATCTACCAAAGAGGGAACAGTAATGTTTTGCACGCTGTGAATCAGAACGTGAACACAACATGTGCATGACAGGCAATGACATGGGTGCAAATCTAGGCGCATGACCTTGATACACTATCAACCCCTGCCGCACGCTCCTGGCATGACCAGGGTATGGGAAATCTTCTCTTAACATCCCCGATGTTTGAACGAAGTTCAACAGGAGGTCAGAGATGGCAACTCTTGCCAATCCCCCATCTCTTTGCAAAGATCCCCCCCCCCGAATAAAAGCCTGCTCTCCCCTTACAAACTTGTTTGTGTTTCTAAAAACTAAAAACTGTGGAGGCCAGGCGTGGAACTCTTTCCATCTTTAGGGGCACACACTCACTTTTCTCCGTACTCCACCGACACGTTCTCGGCTGGGATGGAATGCACGCCATTCAGAGTGATGTAGATTTTCACAAACTTGTCCGACTGGTCCCAGCCTGTTGGAGGGACAGAAAAACAAAACAAGAGAGAGTCGCGTATGAAAAAAAAGTGACTTGGAGGCAGCGCTGTAGGTTGCGACCAAAACAGTCGCATTTGCGACCAAATGTTTGATTCTTATCGCTAATCGCGACCATGATTTGTGTCATTAGCCGCCCACCTTGTCAGTCATATTTCATGAACAATCACTGCCCAGTTTTCTTCTACGTGCACCAAGCGATGTCTCTCAAGATGACCACGCATTTTTTTCTCCGTCTTACATGTACTATGTACACAGCATGAGCCCACGTTAACTACAATGTAACTTACATGTAGTTGCATACACGCAGGTACAGGTACTAGGTACCAGAGTCGACTGGTTTGTGGTCACACACTGTACAGGGTGTATGGGGAGCTGGGGAGCTGAGCTGTTTCGCGTATTCAATTCATCTAAATGCACTAGCAGTTTATGCATGCGACGATTCCAGTGCAATGAACTTGTTTCAGTCCCAAATGTACTTGAAGTTTGAAACCAAAGCTTCCCTTGGTCCAGTCCGGTCCCAGGTACGAAATGCTCAAACATAAGTGAACAAACATGCCTTGTCTTTTCTTTCATCTTTTTTTTCATATAATTGGTCGCCATTTTTTATTTATTCCACAAGCACAAAATCCGAAGCCTGTCTGTCCTGCAGATAATTGACAGAATAATTTTTCGGGGAATTTGTCAGATATTCGTAGGCCTAACTTGTGTAGTTTGCAAATATGTGTACAGTATGTACAAAAATCGACAGGTCTGGTGCCTAACTTTTCTTTTCTAGGAGCCAGTGGCTCCTCATTATAATTTTCTCCGTACAGTACCGAATGGAGAATTGTAGAAATTCAGCACAATCATTTGAAATACCCCATCCCCTTTAAATACTTACGGGAAAACACTTATCACAACTTTGCCATATTTCATCTAGTATCATTCAGATGTACATCCCATGAGAGTTGTTTCTTCAGATCACAATGCAACCAAAGCCTCAACTTTCAATCTTTTCAAAGCAGTTACAAAGAGGAACACGGATACAGATAGGAGTGGGCTCTGAATCAGCGCCTTCTCCAATACCATACCGACTTTCTTTTGAAAGTGGCCATCTGATTGTATGATTTTGCCAGGAGTCATATTTACATCGTGCTCACCGTATGTCTTGATAGTTGTCGTCGCGAGCTGTTTCTGCTTCTGCCCAGCCGGAGTTGCCCTTGCCGTTTCCCCCCCGCCGCCCATCGATGACGCCTTCTCTTTCTGTGCAATCTCTGCCTCCAGGCGACCCTTTTCAATGGACAGGACCCCCTTGACGCGCTGGCGGTCGGCGAGGTGAATCAACTTGTTGACCTCTTCCAAGTCCAGTTTCAGCTGCAGAACATCGAGAGATTATCGCAATCAGAATTTTTGCCAAACTGACCGAGTAAACTAGACAAGTTTGTGGTAGCACCATGAATCTTGTTTTTGAGTATGTGGGGTTCTGAAATGAATCGGTGGTACTCAACGTTTTGGGTAGTATGCTCCGTCCTCTGTCAGAAGACTGCAGATGATGGACAGAGCATACTGTCCGAAACGTTGAGCACCCCCAGTCCTGTCAGAACCCTACATACTCGCAAGAAATACATCTATGGTGCTAATGCAAACCTATCTAGTTTACTTGCTACCTCCACCTTGAAAAGCTCTGAATCTCAAACTGACCGAGCCCAACGTTAGACAGCATGAGAAAACATACAAACTGCCCCGGGGAATGCGGCAAACTTTCAGTTGATACTACTGGCGATGGTTACAAGTGGGCAAAATCTATTGTCTCTCTCTTACTTTTCTAAATAGATTGGACCACGTATACACCTGCACTGCGCATAGCTTGTGTCAGAAAAATGAGCATGAAAAATTTTGTGGGGGGGGTGCATACATGTATGTGCTGTCCGCCATCATTACCTCCTTTGCATTTCTTTTTTCGACCATCTTCCATAACCTCAAATTAGAAAGACAAGACAACTGGTTGATGGCAGAAATATAGTATCGCCTAATCATTTAGTAAGATTGACAGATTGCAAAGATTAACCAACCACACACAACACAGTCAAGTCATCACATTAGCAGCCAGATATGGAACTGCATAGGCCTATGGTGATTTCCCTACCTCCATGATATGATGTTGATGGACTAATTTCCCCCAAAAAACCTGACAAAATACAGTAAAACCATTCATAGTATAATCATAATGTGAATATAATAGTCACTCCTGGTAATGCCTGATCCTCAGACATACCTGTTCAATATGCGTGACTCCTGCCATTATTTGGTTATCCGTCCGTGGGTCTGATACTGGGTGCAGTTCGTGTTTATCGTTTGCCTCCTCGCTTGTGGTTTAAGGCACTTTGTTTCTTGCACTTAGGCTAGGTCTGCAGCCTTGACCTATTGAGCCTAGTCTTATTTTCTCGCGGTGTGGAATCTTTTTCTCGGTTTACAATATGTGTAAACACAACAAACTTCTTCCTTTCAGACTAAGGGAAAACAAGACTTATGTCTATAACTTGAGCCTTTTGGCATCACACCCTGGCTCCAATGTTTGCTGTTAACTTCGATGGTGATTTTCCGGGCTCTTTTCCAAAGATTTCTCACCGTGTCAACACTCGTGTGGAGATTTCTCAACGACCGTGTTTTAAAGACTGGCCCTATGTGCCTCACGCCATGTGTAACCATTTACATACGTCAGGGTGCGGATCTCAGAAGAGGAGCGCCCTCAAGTGAGGGGCAAAGTCGCACTCACCAAGCGAGGCGAGCACGTGGTTTCTTCAACCTTGTAAAAGAGAACCGTCGCGATTTAATTTTTGGCATCTGTAAACTGAACATCTACAGCTATCTCAAAATTGACCTGCCGAATAGGCAATAATTATGCCCTTAGCCAAAACTAAATAAAGTTCATAGGATATTGTCTAGCAGTTTTCTGGCAGGCTCATGGAGAAAGGCATGCGTTCCCGGAGCGTGAAGATGTGGCTATTAACCAATACATGTAGTCCTCAATCCTCAAATTTCAATAATTATGATGATTGTACATACACCCTTGGGGGGTTTGGGTAAATTTGGGGCTTAACCCTCCATAACATGCATTTACTGGTAAAGATGGTGTATCCGGTTGATAAGAGAGACACACTAGCACTGCGCGCGTCCACTGCAAATTGATGAGTAATCCATCCATGATCTCTACGCATGGAGTAACCATATGAATCGGAAGTTAATGTGGGTGTTCATCCGAGTTTGTAATCAGTGGTATGCGCGTGTACGCTTGTATGACAGAGTCACCGGACTGGATCAAACCAAAGATCCTATGGGCCCTCTGGGCCAAGAGCTGGACCAAGAGAGGGCGCCATTTTATTAGCACCAGAGGCTCCTTTGGACAGAACTGAACTTCGCAGGTTCACGAACGACAAGGAAATGCACGAGTTACGGTCGCATGCATTTCCACCAATGATGGGGTGCTTCTGCTAGAGGCAGATAACACTGCAAAGCCACCTGCGAATACAAGGCGCGCCTACGTGACAGCCAAACCTGCAATTATAGGAAGCCATTTTTGATCTTGTTCCCTCAATCTATCATATTCAATGTAATCTGTTATGGGATGGTGCCAGACCATTTTGGGTTAAAAGCCTCACTTTCATTTTTTTTCAAATATGGGTTGTAACATTCAGATATAATTTTTTCACAAATGTTAAGTTATATTCTAAACGTAAACAGGCATGAATACGTGGTGAACTTATATTCCATCGCTGCCATTTTTCCCCAAATGAAAAGTTAACCTCACTTTCGATGCAAGATGGCCGACACATTAATACAGTCGAAAGTCTTAAGGACCGATTCGTGGCAAATACAGGGATAGCACTTAACGGCTTTTCAAAGCAAATGGTCACCAAATACAGAGTGCAGGGGGTCCAATAATGTCAAGTGAGGGCGTCATTACATTAGCGTAGTAAGCTGAGTTCAAAAGCTTTGGCTATCAAGTAAAATAATTTGTAGGTCAATATGAAAGCCACCCCCAATCGAGGGAGCAGATCCGCAAACTCTTACCCGAGAAATCGTTTTGAAAGGTTATCCCTTCCTGGCCCTCCAGTTTTTGTGAGAAAAAAAGGAAAAAGAAAAGATATAAAACGTAGGAGCAGGAACCATTGTCGGGTCTACTTGTATAAATGTAACAAAGGAAAATACGGATTCAGATAGTTTTTTTCATGCTTATCGTCCTACTTGAAGTAATAAACTTAAAAAGGTCCATCCTTGTTGATAGGAATTCCACGGAATTCGGTGCTACACAGCCTTTCCCCCCAAATCCCACCCGCTGTTCCAGTTCGTCCTTGCCATCTAGAACAAACTGCACTGGCTCGCTTACGCCTTCATTACTCACTCCCTCTGGAGTCTGCGTACTGCCCTGAGCTGATCGCTTAACCCCGGGTTCCGAGAAGAAAAATTGAAGCATTTTTATGATTTCGCGACTCGCCTTGTAGAGACCGAGCTGAAATAAATCTTTGGGAGAAACAATGTAATAGTTGTTCTGCACGAACAGGCACGACCAGGATGCAGGGGGAGGGGCTGAAATGGGGGAGTGAGGACACTTGACAAACTTCCAGACATGAACAAGTCATCGAATGGAAGTGTTTGGTATAGATTTTTGTCTGGGACGAAAATATTCAAAACTAATTCGCAGGAGGTGGCCTTCGACTCAACAAACAAACGTTGATGAAAAATACAACCCAATCATTATCTTCAGTAACGAATGAAAGTCAGAAAATGCAAAAAAAGAAACTGCATCGTTGTAATCGTCTCTATGGTATGAGCTTCATTTCTTCCCAATAATTCTTTTCAATTTCACACACATCAGCAAGTAATTTTCCCGTATATTTTATCTGAATAGTTGGACAAATGTCAAGATGGATTGGTATTTGACATTACTTTTCAAAACTGCAATATCTACATAGCAGGAAGTCACATTTGGATGCCGAAGATACATGTCGTTACCGAATTCAATGTATTAATTATAAGTGGACGTCGATACACAAAACTTGAGAGATTAGCATTGCAAATTACAAGATCCGATTCACGGTAGAGGTGATAATCCATCAATTATAAAAGATCCGTGAAGACGAATAGATACATGGGCATGCAAGTTGGAACAGTGCGAATTACAGTGCTAATTTGTAGTAAAGCAAGGCCCCCCCCAAAAAAACACGAGAAAATGAGGAACGTATGGCCTGGGTGATCAAGTAAATTTTAACAAAACTTCACGATAGACACTGCCAGTCCAAAATAAAGAACATAGCCCCAAAATGTTGTTTTGTCGAGATTCGTTGTTCATTATAAAGACACTTAATGCAAAAGACTTGCAGAAAAATACAGCAAAGAAGACAAAGTCAGAAATAGCATTGCTCTCGAGTCTAAGTTTTCTCAATTATTTACAATCTTATGTATAATTTGCCCTCATTAGATGCAGTGTTAGTCACACTAAATGAAAACCTACACCAGAACTTTTGTTCGTGCAATCGCCTGTAAGGAAAAAACCTGGAACCGCTTGTACAGTGGATATAGGGAACATACATCGCTTTGCATTATTTTCAGACAGCGCAATATAATATCCAGGGTCCGGGTCAAATATTATGATAATGAATGGCCCTGCATCGTGTCCAGTGGTCACATTTAGCCGTGTCCAGTCTGCAGCGGAAGCCCATACAGCATGCTCCGTGGCCAGGCATCGTGTGTCTGAAATACTGGCTAGACAACCTTGAGACGAAATTTGAGCCATTGAGCAAGGCAGGCGTAATCAAAACCAGGCTGGGGAACGCGTGCAATAACCCCCTCCCCCAACAATCGATAGCCACGCACAAACTGGACAGGCATGGTCCCCCCCGCGCGCTATGCTGACGCATTACGTAAGCCGCCCAATACAGACACAATTATTGTCTCGATCAGCAAAGCTGTTGAGCGTTACAAGAATGGGTGGTGTACAGTACATGTACAGTACATGTTCAGTTTTTACGTAGGAGCCTCTGACGATTTTTGCCACCCAATTTTCTACTATTCATTTAAGCAACAACCGAGATTGATTGACAAGAGGAAAAATCCAGATGTTGTTCAGGAAAGAAGAGGGTTGGGAACACGAAATGCGAAAAGTGACTCCAAATTTAGTTTTGCCAAGATTTCTACGGCGGGAAAGCCCAACCTTTTTAAATAATATAATATCAACAAACCCCAGCAAGCCTCGCTTACGCATGAGAGTTTCTAACATGGAGGTAGGAAGAGACCTCGCATCAGACATGTGTGTCTTTGTTCGAGCCCGAGCAGGTAAATGCGCCGCTGTGACTATTCACGCACTGAATAGCATCATGCTGGCACGCCCATAATTATGCCATAAAAGGCATAAGTATGTGAAACAGGAATGAAATTGGAGGAAAATGAAACATCCACAAAAAAAACCCAAACCACCAAAGGGTGCGACCATGACCCCGCAACAGTGTAGGGGCAGTGCATAGGCATCCCTTAAATTTAAAACACCTACAACTATCATCCCGATAAAACAAACAAAAGACACTGCGGGAATGATTTACAACTTGTAGTTGGAAGTAAACCAGGTAAAGACACTGGCAAATGTGACCTACTCTGTGAAAATGAGTCTATAGTCGCCAAAGTCACTTTGGAGTAAAACGTCCTTTGGAATAATTTCGCACAGTGTAAATTAATAGGACCCTACAGCATTTTTCACCACGGAGTATTCACTTTTATCAGGATGCCAAACTGAGCGATACATCAAAACAAAAACCTCAATTTGCTCTTTCCAAAACAAATGAAAACTCAAAAAGTGGCTCTGGCGACTTATGACTCATTTTAACAGAGTGGGTCCCATATGTTTTCTTTAACTGATTACATAAAAATTGGGAAGCTGCACTCCAAATTTCGACCAGGGCCCAAAATAATTTTGTCTACTGTTCGCTCCCATACACCCACCGTACCAACATCTGGACATGCAAATTACCCACGCCAGCGACTCCCAGTTCACCATATATCACGTGATGCCCGCTCTTGCCGCAGCCCGGCCATTTTACGACTGGAAGGGCTCGGCCGGATCAGTAGAACCATACGGTGTGCCTGTAACAAACCGTGTTTATCCATTCTTCTTACGAATTTTACATGTTGTTACCGGTAGTTTTTTTTAAGTGAAGAGAAGGACCGCCAAACTGCAGTAAACACGCACATGTATATTAATTTCCATCTTCTGGCCCGATTGCTATAGTGCTATTGGGCTGTCACTTGGATTACCATATAACAGTCCCTGATAGCGAAAATCAGAACATAAAGATAAAAATTAGAAATGGAGATATATTTTTTAGAAATAGAGATATCACCATTAATAGTAACAGAGATATTTGCATTTCACGATTAAATGTTAACTTTGCGCGTCTATAGAAATAGAGATATATCATGCTCGCCACGCGTGAGGCTGTGCATTTTGAAGTACATTAATACACCGTGACATGTATGCATACATGCTGGTATAATTCACTCGATGGACTGCCAGTCTGGATTCCACTGACAAGCTTGATTATTAAACAGAGGCATCAGCATAGACAGGGTTCCCCTTTACGAAAGAAACTTCACCCTGTTGAAAAGATGTCCATACGATGTGGTAATCGCGAGCCCCCCTGCCACATGTTACACAAGGTGACGAGTTGGAAGCCATTTTTTACTTCCTTTCCGGTAATCCTGAGGTAATCGCGGGGGGGGGGGAGCAATCACAGGGGAAAGGGAGTGAACAGCACAAATTTGCCTATAATACCTCGGAATTAACCCCCACCAGTCACGGTTCGCCCGTCTCCTGCTGCTGAGTGTCCCCCTTGAGACGCCCAAGCACGAGGTTTCAAAGCCAAGTCAACGACTTGGAGCCGTCCCACGCAATGCAACAGGACTGAGTCTGACGGTGTGATTTTCCGTTTGTAATTTAACATCTTGGTGTATCAACATTCGCTTCAAGTGAAAGTCTCCACCTGTCACTCTCTTTGCAGATGCTCCTTCGAAAAATTATGTTCCCAATCCACAAAAGCTTCGATTTCCCTGGTCCTCGCAAAGCTTTTCACATGTGCGGTGAGTGTAGTTGAGAGTTACATGTAACTGTGTTTCTTTCCGTATTACAGGAAACAAGGGGAAAAAAAGAGATCAATGATATCGGAACGCGATATCCGTTTATTGGAACCAATTTCCAAGAAAAAGAAAATGATTCCAGCATAACGCGGAACAAGGATGTCGGAATTAACCGCACCTTTAATACGTGCCCCTGACTGTACCAGCGCTTAAGCACGAAGTATGACGATCGAACAGTGAACCAGCTTGGTGTTTCAAAAAGGCAAGTTCATTCGTGAACGAAGCTCGCGTATACGAGTGGGCGTGTGACCCCGCTGCTGATAGCGCGCGCGAGCGTATTCTGTTCCCAAATGACCTTGGACGCGCTTATTTGGGGGGATTCGCTGTTGGAGTATCGAACTAGCTCGTTAATCAGCGTACACTACGGTGAATAATTCAGAAACCACATTTTCTTATTTACGCCCCGAAAGGCCCCCACCATATGGGCTTGGAGTGTGGCTTTGGATGTAGTTATACCCAGGCCGGATGAAACGGTCCGTTGACCCTACGCTGGTCAAGATACCATCAATTCAAAACCTATAGTTTGAAGCTTCCCTCAAATCGAAAATTTGGAGAAGGCTACAGCTACGAAAACGTTTGATTTCGTTTTGTCTCGCCTGCGCTTTTGCGTGTTTTAAGGTTTTATGTTACACTAGTATTTTCGTAAGCCCCACAATATTATTCGTCGGCTCCCTATCCGCCTTAAGCAGAAGCACCCCATCATCGGTTGAAAAGAGCCATGTTGGTCGGGAGAGCTCATTTTGTTGGTAATGATGCGACCGTAGTGCTTTCATTTCACGGTCGTCTTTGAACCAGCGATGCGCATTTACTGCCAAAGGATCCCCCGTTGCTAGGAAAATCACCCCGTCTTGGCCCGGCTCAGGGCCCATAGGTAGGCACAGTGCCTTCTCGGCCTAGTTAACAATCCAGTTTCCCTTCAGTTACACATTGTACCATTCTTTTTGTAGACCAACCACGGACGTATATAAAAAAAACCTGGACTTGCAACGCCTTTGTATGAAAAAAAGCCAACCAGCGGCCATTTTACCGAGCCGAATACAAAGGCGTGGGGTGGATCCCTACTA